TAAATACATGATGCAGCTCCATCTCATCCTATTACCTCACTCCACCTCTTTGCTGCTGGGGTAGTAAAACTTTCCCTGACTCAAACCAGGGTTTTTATTGGGGTATGAACTGTTGCTTCAAACACTGATTCTTTCTTACCTTCCTACATGAAACAGATTTTTACCCTGATCTCCAAGTTTTCCAAGTTGTTGGAAAAATTACAGCACTAGTTAAGATGGAATGACTTCCTCCTGGTTTTCCCTCATCTGGAGGATGTGACGTGCTTTCTAGTCTCCTCAATTTCTCACAACTCCACATTGAATTAGACACATGCCAACTTCATTACGAGGTCATAGCTGGAAGACTTCTTACCTGCTTGGCTTCCTCCTTTGCCCCTCCAGAGACAAGCTGCCCAGTGGAAGGTTCCAGCCCTATCTGCCCTGCAATGTACATCGTCCGGTCCACCAGCACGGCTTGGCTGAAAACACAGGTGACATTTTAAGTCTCATGCTTCCTCACAAAAACATTTCAAATTTCAAATCTGAAAGCACATTTCAAATTTTCTACAGTACTTCATAATGTATCAGAAAGAAGTCTGAGATTGTGTACATGCAAGTCTGTATATGCAGTCACACATCAATCTGCTTACACTTTTGACGAGCTGGGATTACACCATCTGTGGAAGTGCATTGCTCTGCCCTTGAGGAGATAAACCCTGTTTCTTGCAAAGGCACAAAGTATGAATGCAGCAACACAACATTAAACTGAGCTACAGGTTCCACACAGCAGATAGCACAGAGGGAAGGCAGGGTAAATAAAAACATTTTTTGCATCTGCCCAGATAAATATTCCATCAGAGTCTGAGAAGCAGACAATACCTTTCAACTGCATTTCAGCTGCAGAGCAATGAAGGAAGGGAAAAAAAAAAAAAAAAAAAAGTCAAAAGAGATTTAACATTTTTCTTCTTAAACAGGCACTATGATAAATAGTTACCGCCGTGAGGTGACACCCTGCACACTGGTTCTCTGGCAGTATTCCTCCAGAGTAATGAATTTGGCCAGACAGCAAAACACCTTGATCACTCTATCCTCAGAACAATCACTCTCCTCTCACCAAATAACTTGAGTGACTTCTTGGCTAGGTTAATTCAGAAGAATGCAAAATTCAAGCTATTTGCAAAACATTTATACAAAAATGTCAAGTGTGCTTTTGCTGAAGTTGAGTTGGCAATTATTAATGTCCCTACTATAGAGAGATTAAAAGTTTAAAACAAATATTTGAACTACCTAGCAAACATTATGCAAAAGACACAATTCAATTCTCTCCAACCAATAATTAAAAATATTTTGCAAAGAAATTACAGAAACATTCTTTTGGAACTGTTTATGGCATGTCAAGATTGTTTTTCATATCTCTTCTCTTCCCACAAGAAAATGCATTGTTTTGACCATTTAACAACTGCCTCAAGCTACATAAACTAGAGTTAGGCACCTCCCTGAAGTATCTGAAATAGGAGGTTTGTTTGCCTTTAATGTCGATGGAAAAAGAGGGACACATTCAGAGAATGCTTTTAGTTCATCTCTCAACTGAGATTCACTCAGTTGGATTGTCTTAATCCATTCACCTCACAGGGGACCAACCTAATCTAGGGACTCAGTCAAATGATCAGGGTTAGGCAGTTTGAACAATGCCATCATTCACATCTTTTCTTTTACACCTTTCCTACCTTCTCCTTTAATTTCATAAGGGGAAGAAATAGCCAGTAATCTGTCAGATATGATAAACTATCTTACATGGGGATTATTTCTTCTGTCATCAACTAACAAAACCGGAGTCAATCACCATTCAAAGAAGAGAAACCAGTTAAAGTAGTTTTCTAGCTGACACAGTCTTGAAATAGAAGTGTGTGCATGTACACACAGGCTTCTTTAATTTTCTTTCCTACCACTCCTGCTGTGGAGAGAGGCCCTCAGTGTACAAACTTGTGTTTCTGTTTGAAGCACAGAGAACTGTGAAACAAGAAGTATGGGCTCTCCAGTACAAGAGATTGTTTTGTACTGCTTATCACAAAGCAAATGACAGTGAAATGTTTGGCTCAACAGAGACCTTTGGAGAGTCCTAAATCATTAATAACTTTGGAAAGAACATGCTGAAGCTTTCTGATACCACTGCCAGATCAACATCTGCAGCAGCCTTATTGGTTCTCCTGCTCTGCTCAACTTCCCCCTCTTGGCGTGTTCATCAATAGGGTTGACCCCTCCATTCACTGAGGCTAGGAACAATTTACCAGCCAAGGAGTAAACTTCTACTGCACTAAACACTAAGTGAAGCTAAGGAAAACTTCAGCTCCACAAACCCCAATAATTCTTTAGCTGCAGATGCACCACATAACTAGGGCAAATCACAGGTACTCATTAATCAGCAGGGATGTGAATGCGTGTCTAAAGTCATTCAGGTTTCAGTGTACCTAAAAGCATAACTGGCCAGACACTATGACCTTAGAACAACATTGTCTGCCAGAAATATGGTGTTAGGAACCATACTCTTTGTTAATCAGATCTTCTTTACACATATGATTGTGGATTAATACAAGAGCAGTATCTCTGCAGTGGCTTTTAAAAGGTTAATAACATTAATGAGATATATAGACCCATACACAGATATTTGGTTTTTTATATATTTACCTACCTATCTCAAGGTATTGGCAAATGGATGAAGTAAAGGAAATACAAAAAAACCAGTAAAAATAGGTCACCAAAAAGCATTTGTAGCAGAACCAGGAATGCAGCCCACACATCCCAATTCTTCATTTCACATTAAGCCCTCATTCCTGCATAAGCGACCTCAGACTTCACAGCAGAGATGCAGCAGTTATTTCTTGTGCAACTTCTGCTCTCTGGACTTTGACAAGCTTACTGAAATCTGATAAACTAAGTTAGCTATAAACTTACTGATGTTAGACCTGTCATACATTTAACAGGCTGCATAATAAGCAGTATTTAATCAAAAACTACCAACAAGCATAGCATTTTGGAGTGGAAAGCTATGTTGAAGGCTGGGACAGTGGTGTGAGTGTGCAGACAAAGAATTTTTGCCTTCCCATGTCTTAGATGTTCTCCTGATGCCAAGCAATGCCAGGCCCCTGGCTGCAATCCACCAGCAGTTAATTGTTTACAGAAGTTAACCTTCATGCCATGTCTCTCTGCTTCTACACTTTGTATTTTTCCATTTTTATAATGCCTGTAAGAAACATACAGTTTCAAGCTTAGAAAACTCAGGACACAAAGTAATGGAGAAAAAAATGCACCTGGAAGGCATGAAGATGCTATTGTGAACACAAAGCATGAATACAGAATTAAAAATTCTTAAAAAATGTCCTGGTAAAAACCCCTTAGTACTTCAGCTCTAAGAATCTACTATACTGACGGAACATTTTTTTTCATATTCAAATTGCAAAGAGAAACCTTTCTCCAATGAAAACTGGGATGTTTTTAAATTTTAATTATATGCAGAACTGCTGTAACATACTTGTGAAAATGTTGAACATCATACATATTTTTACAGCAGTTAAGTTTTTAGACTGAAAAACATTTATAACTATTCAAAATAAGAAAGAATTTTCAACTCCTGAGCATTGAATTCTCCATCTAACCAAGCTCACCCTGGATTGGGCTCAGCCTTCACCCTCCATCACCAGCATAGTCAGCATTTCTAGCTTCCCTACACAACGTGCTTGTTTCTAGCCAAGCACCCTTTTCTAGACAACAATCATTCTTCTTCCTTTTTTTTTTTTTTTCATTCGCTCCTTACCACTAATTCCAGAATTACTTTCCCAAATTAACTTTTTGAAGTATATCCCCTCCCCTTATCAGGCTGCAGTTTGCTGTGGCACCACAGCCTTACTCGTGCTTTGGGACTCCAGGTGTCCCTGGAGGTTCCTGGGGGAGGGGGTACCAGGGCTGGCCCCTGGTCATGGGTCCTGCTCTCACCTCAGCCCCACGCCTGCCTAACAGACCCCCAGGGACCTGCCAAAACCCTACCAGCAAAACTTGCTCCTGTGTCTCCTGAGATGTTCCGCTCCCAAATCACAGAATTGTTAGGACTGGAAGGGTGCTCTGGAGATCATTCACTCCAACCCCCCTGGAGCAGGTTACACAGGAAAGCATCCAGCAGCGTTTGGAATCTCACCAGAGGGACATTATACAACTTCCCTGGACAGCCTATTCAAGTGCTCTGCCACTCTCAGTATAAAATAAGTTCTTCCTCATGAGCTGAAATTTGTGTTCTAGTTTATGGCCACTGCTCCTTGGGCAGCACTGAAAAGAGTCTGGCACCATCCTCTTGGCACCTACCTCTGAGGTGGTTATAGGTGTTGATGAGATCCCCTCTCAGTCTTCTCTAAACAGGCCCAGCTCCCCCAGTCTCTCCTTTTAGAGATGCTCCAGACCCCTCATCATATTTGTGCCCCTCTGCTGACCCTCTCCAGTAGCTCCTTGTCTTTCTTGTACTGAGGAGCCCAGAACTGGACACAGCACTCCAGATGTGGCCTCACTAGGGCCGGGCAGAGGGACAGGATCACATCCCTCGACCTGCTGGCCAATTTTCCTGATGCACCCCAGGAAAGCATTGGCCAAAAGGCGCTGCCGGCTCATGGTCAACTTGTTATGCACCAAGACTCTCAGATCTTTCTTAGCTAAGGCATTACCTGTAGGGACCCAGCGCAGGGGCCTTAGTAGTGCTGATTATTTTCTTCACGAGCGAGGCCATGACCAGAGCTGGTGCTGAAGCTGCAGTAAGTGCTGGGCCCTCCCCTCCTGCACTCCCTCCCCTCAGCGTCCAGCCAGTGCACACCCCACCCACCACCGCCCGCGGAGGCTCCTGGGAAATGTAGTCCTTCAGGGCAGTGCCTGGGAGTGCGCATGCGCTGTGCCGGGCGTGGGTGCCCACGTGTGCCGTGGAGGCCGCGCCGAGAGTGGGTGCGTGGTTGGGGTTGGTGTCGGGGGCTGCGGTTTCACCTGCTCCGCCCGCCGACCTCTCCCCTCCTCTGACCGCTACGGAGAGGCTCCGCAACCCCGCCGGAGATGTCTGGGGCGCGGGAGAAGAAGCGAGCCAAGAAGATGAGGAATCAGCCGGCCAGCGTCACGCTGCCCGCAGAGCCGGGGCCCTTCGCCGGTGGCGGGAGCAGAGCCTGCCCGCCCCCAGGTACGGCTGTGGGAGCCCTTCCCGGGGCTGGCAGGGTGATCCCCCTCAGGCCCAAGTGTCCCCCTCTCCCCAGCCCGCAGGGTGCTCAACGTGGGAGTATCCAGGGCTTCCTTTAGTCCTGGTGCTGCCGTAAGTCCCGTTAATACGGGATTCTCTTTAACATGAGAGGCTTGTGGAGTCTCTGTCTGAAGTCATTCCAAACCCACCCGTTCTGTGTAACCTGCTCTATGTGACCCTGCCTTGGCGGGGGGGTTGGACCGGATGGTCTCCGGAGGCCCTTTCCAACCCAGACTATTCTGTACCCTGTGAGTATGCGCTTCTCCCTGTCATCCCTTCGATTACATAACGAATCCCTACAGTTCCTAGCCGTAAAATTAATTTGGATGTTATACCAAATCCAGTTTCTCCTTTGCTTTTCCGCCAGACCTGGTAGGAGGAGGGGCTGGTTTAGACTTCTGGTGTTACGATAAATGCGCTGATTTTCCCTCAGATCTGCATGCCCCCGGTTTACCTGTGGCTCCTGTGCCTGTGAAGGGAATTGGCAGGGCATGTCCCTAAATTGGCACTGTCCTGGGTCATTGCTGGAGCATTTTGTACACAGGTAACCTTTGCAGCTGAAGACTGCAGGATCCTGTCAGCTTGTATGCTAGATGCCTTTTTGGTCTTTGTGGTTTGATCTGCATCCACTATACTTCAATAGGACTTCAATTTCCACCACCACCTTCACGTTTAGATATTTTGTTACCTGCATTATTTCTGTGAAAAACCTCATGCATGAAAGGACTTGTTACTGTGAGGCCTTCAGAAGTTGACAAATTGCATCTTTGTGATTGAATGAAAAAACCCTTACGTGTCACTGTGTATTAAGGTGACTGAAGAGTTCCTGGGCAGACAGAATGACATAGCAAATTATGCTCCTCCATGTCTGAATATTTTGGAATGTCATTACAGGAGTACTGCCAGATTAAACACATTTTTCTAACTTTATTTGTAGCAGGAAACTTCTAAGATTACATGCTTATGTTTTTCCATTCTGTTAAAAGGCATGGATTTTCATCCATGTAACATTCTTCTGTAGTGTCAGTATTGTAGGTTTACAGAGCTGTTTTGTAGAAACAGGAAGGAAAAATTATACATAAAAGTTACAAAACTATGGATCTGTGTAGTAGCTAAAATAATTTAAGGATTTTTTAGTTATTAAGTCAGTCTCATAAATTGAGATGCTGCTGAATGTCAGTCTGCTCCTGGCTGGTCTTCATGCTAGTGGTAGCATTTTTGGGACAAAGGGACAGGCTTGTTTAAGAAGGTAGTCAACCTAAAAACTGGTTTTTTTAATCTCTCACTCTATTTCTGTGGACACACAGGTTGATTTTCACTAGAGAAGCTCCCTGAATGCTATGGCCCCGTGTTCTCTCAAGCACTTGTCTTGATGTAGTGGATGGGGTGATAGGAATGGCTGGTTGGACCTTTCTTAGTCAAATTGTCTAGCACAAACTGCCTGAGAACCGTATCTCAAGTTGTAGTAGAAATCATAACTAAGGCTTAACTGAACATAAAGTAATCTGAAGTAATATATAATATTAGTTAGGCTGAATATACACAGGTCTTTGAATAAGGATTTCAAGGCCGTGTGAAACTTTAGGTACTTGCTAGGTGCTTAGCACTCCTGAAAAGAACTGCTGTACGTTAGGATGCTTTATTGTAGGTTTTAGTTATTTAATTTCAGTATTGGTTTAAGTACTTGTACCAGAAAAGTAACTTACTGTACCAATGTACAAGTATCATGCTCACCTTAATTATTGCTGTAAAAAAAATACATGTCACGCAAGAATAAATTTGCTTATAGAAAAGAAAAACAAACAAGGGGCAAGTGGAAAAAATAACTTTGCTGTTTTGTTACTAAAACTCTGACAAGACAATAATAAAAATTACTACGATGTTCCATGGACTGATTTTGCCCTTGGGGCAAGGTCTGGATTGTGTACCCTTTTCAGAGCATGCAAAAGTTACTTAATCTACCTCATGTTTGCTGCAGGGCAGCATAAAATTCTTATTTATTCCTGTAAATAAATAAGTTAATTCTTCTGATTTCTGGTGGCTTTTACAGTTATGTGTATTAAATAAAATGGGAGGAGTCTGCAATGCATTTTTATGAGAAAAGACTAATAGAGTTATCAGTTATTCAGACTATTTAATGTTTCTCTAATCTCTTTCCATCTCTAAACCTTCCAGGAGATGTTCATTCTGAGCAGCAGCAGAAATTTTCAAATCAGTCATCTGGGCCTGCTTACAGGAAGGACCAGTATTTTTCAAAGGGGCAAAGTAAAGGAGAGAGAGGCAGAGGAGCATGGCATGGAGGACACCAAAGTGTATCTGAGGAAATGCCGAAATACATAACAGGTGTGTATATGTGAAAGGTCTTAATTTATCACTCTGTGGCAATTTGCTGGTGATTAAATTTGCTGTCTTTATTTTTGTGCAAGAGCAAAAATTAGAACTGATGCTATGGTCTTCTGTTTTTCCTGATTTTCTCCAAAACATAGAAGTTGTTTTGAACTGGAATGAATGACTAGCTGTTGTTCAATGGGTCATTTCAGATTTCTGAGTGGAAAAGTTACACCTTGAAGTGAGGGATACACATTTTGGTTTCTGTTTGCTAGCAGAATGAGTACTGACAGTCATCTGATTTTAATGTAGCCAGTAAAACTGTTTTTACTCATGATGCAAGTTAAAGACAGCTTTTCACCTAACAGAACGTTTATTTAGGAGAGCAAATCAGCTTTGCAAAATGTTGCAGTGTTCTGATAGTAGATACACTTCCATAAACATGAAATGAGACCAAGCTCTGGATTTTTATTTTGTTTTTTTAAAACAGTCTGGAATATGTTACCGCTTCCAGTTTTTTTTCCATACTAAAGATTTTTTTGTCTCCCTGAATACCAGCTGAAAAAATTGCTGTTCTAATTTAACAAAAAAGTATTTAATGCAAATGGGATTTGTTGGTTAAACAACTTTCAGATTCATTAATGTATAAATATTTGCTTGACCATATCTGTAAACTTCAGGATTTGTAAACAACTGATATTTCTTCAGTGACAGTATATGGTAATTCCTTTTATGTCAAGAAGATATGGGACTGCTGTACTAGGAGTAATTCTGTAATTTACATGCAGTATCCTCCTCTGGTTTGTTGTTTGTTATGTCTCTGATGCCAGTTCTTTTCATTGCAGTGTCTACCTTTGCTCAAGCTCGTGCTGCTGAGATCAATGCCATGTTGAAAGCAGTTTCGCAGAAGTCTTCCAACTCTCTGGTTTTCCAGACCCTCCCCAGGCACATGCGAAGGCGAGCAATGAGTCACAATGTTAAACGCCTACCCAGGCGGCTCCAAGAGATGGCCAGGAAAGAGGTATAAGTGTGTTTTACAGCATTTTGTGTAGTGGGCACAGCCAAAGCACACTGTTCAGCTCTATATTTATTAATGTTCAGACCTGAACTTCTGCCAAACTTCCCTGAGCACCCTAAACTTTGACTCATGTTTGAATTCAAAATTCAGGATCACCTCAGTTTCAGGTGGCAGCTCAAGTAGGTCTCACTAACCCCCTGTTTTTGTGATTACTGGACATCTTGAAAAGTAATTAGAGTAGTGGTAAAAGAGTCCATTGCAGGAGAGGTTGGGTGGTGCATTGGCCCAGGAGTCCTCAGTAAGAAGAGCTGCCTTGCACCCCGCCCCAGCTTTAGGATGTGACCATGCCAGCCTCAAGCTGACGTGATGATTTCAGTGTTACAGCTCAAATGTGGGAGGTACACTGGGGTTATTGGCAGGCTGCATGCAGCTTAAGTCTTACTAATTGACTAGTTCTAACCACTCATGAAAGTAATTTTGTGGCAGTATCTCAACATTTAGTCAGAACATACCTTTGGGGGTTACTTGCTCCTTATTCACTGTGGCCTCCCTGTATGTTTAAAAAGGAAAATCAAAAATTGGTTCAGCACAGTGTTATTGGGGAATGACCTTCCCAGTGTTTGGCATTGATCACTTTATCATCTCTGAGAATTCCTAAAGTGATCAACTGAGTTTATTTGGTAAGTTTTTTGTGTATTAAGGTTGACTGATAAATTTATTTATTGCATTCTTTTTTTCTTTTGTGTTCTCTTTTGAGACCTTGTCCCCTCCACCCTGATTTCCTGAAGATGATTGTTCATGGTTCAGAAATTGTTTCAGATGCTTCCCTGACACACACTAATTGCATGTTTCTTAGGGTGTTTATTGGATCTTCACAACCTGTATCTTATTTTACTGTTTTGGTTCACATTTTTTTTTGCTTTGTCAGACATGACAAGAGATGCAGTTTGGGCCTGTTTTCTGGGAACTGAAGGAAGAAGGCATGGGCTGTTTTGCATAGTTTTGTGTTATCCTTGTTAAATCTAGATTTTTCTAAAATTTATATTTGGTTCTTTTGAGTCCTGCTTTTTTAACTCCTTTTATGTGACAGCCTTTCTAATTTCTGTGTACATGCTCACACATACTCTTCTATCCCTGTTTCCACACCACATAGGATTCTTGGATTTTTTGAGATTATTTAATTGGCCCTGGAGCAGCTGTATTTCTTCTGCTACATTTTTTGTCTTCAGGTCTTTTGGTGTGGCTTATGTGTCTGCACAGGCTCACATTTTCTTGCAGCTTGTCATATCTCTGTTAGTTGTTTTTGTAAAGGTTCTCCCTATTACTTTTCAGTGTTTGATCTCCATCTTCAAAGGTATCTGTTTCAATTCTGCTGCATTTTCTTCGTTTGTCTTAGATCCTTTATCACAACCATATTCATTGAAACATTTACCTGGATCATCTTTTATCTCTTCAATAAGCATAAAGATGTATATTTTTCACCTACAGTGCTGCATCTCTTTTTCTCTAACTGCCTTTCTGAACCGGTCACCTACCATTGATCCAGTGGCTTGTATTTCCTTCTCTGTGATGAATGATAGGTCTGATGGAAAGATACTTTCTTGGTTTTTTTTTTTTTCAGTTCTATTTTGATTTCATTGGTTGCTTCAGTGTTTTTAGTGTTCTTGGCACTGATCTGGCATCATTTTCTTTCCTTTGCTATTCTTGTAACCAGTGGTCTGCTGTCAAGTGTTTCTTGGTGAGCTTACAAAGCTTTTTGTACGTCTTGTAGCCCTATTTCTTTTTAGCACTTTTCTTCACAAAAAGAAAAATCAAACATGGAATCAAGCCTTCCTCTCTAGCCATGCATCCACATATAATAGTTCAGACCTTGACTATGTCTGGTTATCAAGAATTTGGTCAAGATATTCCCAGAGTCCTCTGTCATCCATTTCTACATGTTGTAGAAGTGATAGGGCCCTTTCTGTCAGTCTGAGAGTCTGTACTGCTTCTGTATGAGCTCAAATCTCCAGGCATTTTCCATGTCACATTGGTTTGTTCATGTGAATATATTGATGTGTGGCAAAAACTTCACACAGGAAGTAGCAGCACTTACTGTTCATGATAAGTTTCTGAATGTGTGGGGATTTTGTTTTATATATGGGTTTCAGTCAAACCTTGATATACTTCTGTGGATGTGATTTGCGTAGAAAATGTGAGTTAGTTACCCTCAAGAATGATCCAACATGGTATAACTTAATGTTAGTGCTTCCTGTATTCTTATATTTCAGCCTTTTTCTTTTCAGAATTTTTTTCTGTTGAGATTTACTTCAGTATCCTCTCTTCTAAAAAACAGGCAGAGAAAGCTGTACATCAGAAAAAAGAACAGTCAAAGACTAAATGCCGCAAAGCTAGAAGACGACACATAAATTTGGTAGCAGAGTTTAATCACAGGCAAAGAAAGAATATTTGGCTGGAAACCCATATTTGGCATGCAAAGAGATTTCATATGGTAAAGAAATGGGGATACTGTTTAGGAAACAGCCCTACAGAGAAGAGCTACAGGGCTTGTTACCGAGCCATGACAAAGCACTGCCTTCTTCAGGTACCATATCTGCATGTTTTATTTGATATTTTGCCAAGGTGAAGTAATCAATTGCCTAGTTGTAATGAATATTTCTGTCTCTTTGAAGTACTGTTGTGTCAGCTGTCAATAAGACTGCTAAGTATGAAATGAATAATTTTATCATTGTAATTCAGGGTGGCAAGTTTCAGAGAGAATAAGATGAACATTTAAAGGAGCCTTATGGTAACTATGACAGAAATACTACATTTTCAGTTTTCTAAGGACCTAAGAGATTAAGTGAATCCTAATATCATCTACCTGAGCAGCTATTGAGAAGAGATAATTTGTTTTATGTCCTTTTTAATTAATTTTAATGTCCTTGGTTTGAGAGGCAGGTTGGCCCTCAAATAAGAAACCACTCTCCTACAGCTATTAATTTTAAGTTACAAAGTTATTCATTTAAAGTTATAAAGAAACTCATTTCACTTTGGCAAATTTTAGAGAAGGAAGAAATTCTACTTAGGTAGAATTAATAAATTGTAAAGCCCTGTCTGGTCTTTTCTTACCAGGCTTACTTTTAAGAGTTATTCTCACTTGGATACTATCATATTGTTTCAGGACTTATCATATTATTGTTGCCTGGAGTTGAAGGGTAAAGAGAATGAGCTTCTGAAGCAACTTGCTCGAATATGTAGCATTGACACAGGTAAAATTTACGTAGTTCAAAATAAAGATTCGGAATAGACTAAAGGATGATCCATCCTTTTTAAATAATGTATCAGTCTCAATAGTAGTAACAGAGTTGATTCTGAGTTGTGATTTTGAGTGAAAAATGTACTTAAGGTGTCATAGTAGGACTAGAGATTTCAGTGGCTTATTAACAAGCTGATCATGGTACAACCTTAGCCACTCAGCAGCCAGACAGAATTTCAGTTTTACTTTGTTTATTAAACAACGTATTACTTTGTTCTTCAATAAGTGTCTTCTTTTTTAGGATTGACATTTCAAGAGGCTTGTTGTCTGTCTGGAACATTTGAGGGTTCCCTGAATCTTTACAGAGCAGATCGCTATCCTGAGGATATGCTTGGTCCAGTTACATTTATTTGGAAACCCAGGGATGGGTCTGAAAACAGACAGTTGTGGATTTGGGTGCATCCAGCTCTTAAGCAGGTGCTTTTTCCTAAATAGTTGAACTCTTATTTCTTTATGTATTGTGAACTATTAATGCTGAAGAGATCATCTGAAAAGTCTGAAAGAAGTGGGTATAACACATTGAAAGTTGGAAGACTATTTCTACTCTTAACAATATTGATGTTCTGCAACTTGCTTTTGTAAAGCTTGTAGTGAAAGTGCATGGTGCTGAGGTGTTCAGTGTTTAAGCTTCTGAAAAGTTTTTTTTGTGTCAGTTGCTTCAGGATACATGTGCAATATGATGTTGCTTGATGCATATCCTTTCCACTGGCATCCCCAGCAGGCTATCATCACAGATAATCATGATAATCATCCTTAGCTATCAGCTTCAAAAAAACAAAAATGAGAAAAGTGAAATGTTGTGCACAGGCAATTTTTCTTACATTAATTTTCAAGAGAACAAATTCTTAGCAACTTTCAATATTACTGACAGATTTTCTTAGTAAGCCCTTGACTTCAGCAGAATTAAATTTTACTCCTTAAAATCCATATAGGAAAATTAAATAATGGAGTATAATTTTTAAAAGTATATATAAGGTTTGCAGTGCACTGCATATCATCCTAATCCTAACCTCATTCTTCTTAAGGATATACTTAGGGAGTTAAAAGCAATTTTTCAGTGTTCAGAGCCTGAAGAAATCTGTATTACTGAGCCTGTTACAACATCAATTCAAGAGGAAAAACAAGTGGAAGTTGTTACAAGCCTTGGCAATAAAAGAAAGAAGGAGGATAAAGAAGGAGAAAAAGCTGTGCCAGTGAAAAAAATAATTGGTGATGGCACTAGAGATCCATTCCAGTCCTACTCTTGGATCGCACGGACTACTGGCATTGCAATCAGGTTTGTTCACAGTACAGTCAGAAACTGGCCCATAACCATGTAACATAGCTGCATTTCTGGCTTAACAGTACTGGGGTACATAATGTGTGTTGTACAATTGTACATTCCCCTGAAACTTTCCTGTTTCAGTGACAGAAGCATGGAGATTCTCAGATACCGGCTGATCGGCCCATTATCACACTCCGTCCTTACAGAGACCCTGAAAGCAGCTTCTGTCCAAACAGTAAGGAAATTGACTTTGGATGTTAGTGTAATTTTGGTAATGTTCTTAGAATGTGAAAGCTTGCTTTTTGCTAGAAAGACCCATAAATCATCTAGCCTTGCTTTTTATAAAAGCTAGCCTATGTATTACCCTGGTGGCTTCTCTGTAGTGAACCTCTTGACTAATGCTGATCTCAGGAAGAACTCCCACCTGGATTTTAGGTGGGAGTAGGAAGAAAATAAAAACAGTGGTTCTGTTGAGCAGGCTGTGTAGTTTCTGCTGAGAGATCCAGAATAATTCATATTCTCTTTGAGAAACGTCCTGTTTCTCAAGCAATCAGCTAGAGCACCTAGAACTAAAGGGCAAGACATGTAAGGTACAGAAAACTTATGTGTTTTCAATCAAATATGGAGTTTCTCCAGGATTTAGGCTTTTCATCCACTTCTTCGCATATAGCATTACTGTGGTTTTAATGGGGTTTTTTTGTCTCTTGAAGCAAACATGATGAGTCCATGAAATGTCTGGCTTTCTCTAAGAAATAATTAATAACAGAATTAGGAAGTACTGTAGATTGCTTTATTTCTTTTTGGAACACAGGTTAAACTGTGCAGTTTATTAGAGATTATTGTAAACTATGGTATTGTAAGCCAAAAATTACTTTGGTTTAAAACTTGAAGAGGAAGAAAGTGACTATAGTGGTTAAGGCAAACAGAAAGTGAAATCATACTGATAAAAAATAATGAATAACCATTTGAGTTTAATAAAAGACATTGTTTTCCAGGAGATGGCAGATTCAGAGACAGAACTGAATAACTGGTGGGTAGAAAACTGCAAGGACTCTGAAAAAGTATCTCTTCATCAATGTCAGAGTGGTATCTTTGAGCTATTGGAAGGTATTTTGCATGTGGGTGCTATGGGTGGAATGGGGGGAAGCTTAAAATCTAATGGTCAAAACTGGCATGCTAATAAACTTCAGTTTGGACATGCTTATTTTTTGCATGATCAAGAGAGTGATGTCTTTGAGAAGGTGCTTAGGTACTTGCCAGGGCATGGCAGGGAATTGAAAAATGTTACATTGGGAGTATTTAAGGGAATTTAAATCCTCTGTGTAGTTCAGACTTGTAATAGAGAAACTGAATTTTGCTTTTTATCTTTGTGAACTTAAATTTGGGATTGCTGATGGGATATACAGTCTGATGTATCCTCTCACTCTCTCTCACCACACACTTAAAATTAAGACAGTAAGTTGTACAGTATGTCCACAGATAAAATGGTAGCCTCCAATCCAGAGTGGAAGTATTATACTTCATTTATGTATGTTCATTTCTAAATTAACAGTTGTGTATTTGGCTGAATTGTAAAGTATCATAAAGTTAACACTATTTCCTCAATTTTTAGCACTGAAGCAGGTAAGCAACTGGCTTTGGTAGATCTCACATTGTACTCAAGCTGGCTATCCAATATGAGGCAGTTAAGCAGAGATGAGGTAAAACTTACAAAACACTTCTAGATTTCCTTTCTCTTGAAGACACATGTAAAACAAAGGTTGGTTGTTCTTTGAAATTTGTCAAATGCAAAGGATGAATTGAGTCTGTGACAGTGACCCCACTTATATGCTAAAGGTAAATGTAATTGCAAACCAAGTCATGCACTGCTGTTGTTGACTTTTTTGTTATTGAACATTTAACAAGCATAGGTGATTTTTCAAAATATGTTGGAGTATTCTGGATTGCTTCACTGGCTTACAGTGGTGTCACATCCCTGCAGGCAAAAAAGCACAAAAATACAAGTGCAAAGGAAGATCACAACTTAATTGGTGGTTTCATTGCAATGTTCATCTGTGTGTTTTTAAAGGGATGAGCTCACCATCAGATATGCCACCAGGTACAATACTTGGCCTCACTGTTGGAGATCCTCGAGTCAATTTGCCAAAAAAGAAGACAAAAGCCATGCCAGACTTTGAAAAATACCGAGGTAAAATCCCCTGTCTATTTTATATGAAGAGATTTAGTTTCTTTCTATGCTTTTGTTTTCATTTACTGTCATCTTCTATGGATTGTCTCCTGCTATTTTCCTCTAGGTTTTGGTTCAAAATATTTCCCAGTTCCAGAGCACAGGCAGAATAGAAACAGCTTGAAAGTTGCATAGGTTTTAGAGCAGCAGTTGTGAGGGAGGGACATGCACCAAAGCTGGTCTTGTGCTCAGTGGAAGCCTCTGTCTGACCATACAGATGATCCAGGTTCGAATCCTGGCAAGGCCATCCGGGTGCTAAAAGCTCCAGAGTAAGTTTCTGTTTGGTGTTTAGTCTTCCTGTTTATCTCCCCAAGAAGATACCTGCTGTTTCTGGTTTATAGGCCTAAGATGCTGAAAGTTGCAATTCTACTGTGAAAAAAGTTTACAGGGTTAGTGTTTCAGATGGCCAAGGTGTTGATAGAAAATGAAAGATGCAGGCATAACTTCTGAAATTTTCATTTTAGTGCTGACTTACACAATGTTTCAGTGCAAAATTCAAATTCAGATGGATGTGAATGTCCTCTGAAAACGTGCAGAAGTATATAGAGGGGTTTGTGTACAGTGCAGGCATTCCCAATTAGGTTGACTGAGCACAGGCTGCCTCACCTAATAGGAGAAACATGATAGTCAGCTAGCAAGCAGCAGCAAATAGGACAAGTTGAAAGTTCCAGAGACTTCAAAATACTGAATTTCCTTGGTGGTCTGTTTGCAAGACACTGGAATAATCTAGTCTTACATATCACTTAAGTCAGGTTGAGCACCTCCTTCAGTTGCATTTAGTTCTTTCCAAAATTCTGCTATTTTCATTTTCTTCCATCCTCTTGTTCTGCCCTCTGTATCCAGAACAGCCTTTCTGTTAATTAGCTGTGCTCAGCTAACTTTCTCATCATTAGTGTTCCTGTTGGAAATGCTGCAGCATACATGACCTCTACTTTGGTTCCGTCCTGCTGAGAAGTAAGGTGAGATATGTAGCACTTGTTTACAGGTACTGGTTTGAGCTGCTAGAAGAGTTAGCAACTACAGAAAGTTTCATTCTGCCTGCCATGTCTGTGAGGATGTGTTTAAGAAGGCCTGATCAACAGAAGGCATTTAGGTATTTTAAATGTCTCATAGTAGTTTCTCTCCTGCTGCTGGAGCTGGTTTTCCCTCAGGAATGATGGCCGTGGTAAAGAGGTAATGGCATAAGACAGGGAGTCAGGAGCACCTCTGTGTTTTTTCCTTTGGCTGAAAAGGAATGTCCATCTTTCTACCTGGGATTATCCTTCACTTGCAAAATGTCTTCTATACCACAAATACTCAGAAAAGCTGGTGCTGCTTTTTTGTTTCTTTCTGAGTATTTGTTTTTTGTTTTTTTTTCATCATGAACTTCAAACTGCTTCTGTCCTCTCTGACTTTTATTTAGGAGAAGGAGGAGGTCCTTGTTCAGCTAGCAAGGACAGGTAAATGGCATAGTACTTTAAAATTAGGTTCTGCTAAATAACTTACTCTTACACGCAGCTGAGGAAGTTGAGTAGGCAGAAGGATGAAAGAGGACAGACAGTACCACTGTCTTCCAGTAGCCCAAAAAAAAAGAAGACTTCTTTAGGATCTGTAATTCCATTTCAGTGCTATTAATTTCCCCCTTCTGAAAAAAAAAATCATTTTTTGACCCTTAGAATTACATAAACTTTCTGAGCCTTGATTATGTTGTGAACTTACTCAGATACAGTAATATTGTGAGCTGACCTCTATTAAAAATGTTAATAGTAATTTTTTTGTCTTAATCAAATCTTGTTTATTGAGCAATAAAAGGGAACCATTGGTGTATTCCACACTTTTCCCCCCTTTTTTGCTTCTTGGACATTCAAGTACTATTAGGGTTAGTATTAGTAAGATTGAAATAGCACTGTATATGTTAGCATACAGGTTCCATATGTATTTTAGCCTCTCATGTTCTTCAATATTTTATAAAAGCCAACTAAGTTATGGCCATCACCTTTGCTGGGGATTGTCATACACACAGTAGTGGAATGATACATACCTGTTCATATTGGGTTTTTTTTGCTGTTCTGAGATATGCCTGTGTAGTTTTTCCCTAACAAACTAACAAATCAAATGTAATTTCAGTCTTTCCCAGTTACTTTATGTCTTCAGTGCGTATGTGCAAGCTGTGTGCTATGAACATGGGTTGATCAGATTCAATCAAATCAGCTGTCATTATTTCTTTAGGCTGGAGTCAAGACTCCCAGTAAGCAGTCAGTTCTTGCATGACTGCACTTTAGTACTGTTCTTTTCTCCAGTTTAAAGTACATTTCTGACATTTTGTTACGTTGGTACCATCTTCTCTTGAGAAAACAAATTCCACTGCCTTGAAAACATTTAACATGGAGTATGGTGAAACTTCTGCATAATCAGTGAATGAGATGCAGAGAAGGAGAATACAGCATGAAAAAGTAAAGTTCCTGGGGTCCGTGCCTGTAAATGCACCTCTTGCAGAGATGCAGGTATCTGTCCCCATCTCTCCTGATACCCATCCTCCCTGCATACACCTAGGACTCTCAGACTGCTCCCAGGCAGTGTTTCTATTTTTCATTTCTTTTTTTTTTTTTTGTGAAAGGGAGGAAGGAAAATTTTAAAATCAAACTACTCTTAGGCCTGTCTCTAAGACAGATAATCAACTATGAAATCAGATCAATAGATTGAAATGGAGCAATGCCTTCTATCTGCCTGTATTGTCTAAGCACCAACCATTGACTCCAGCAGAGGTAGCTTGTTGATGAGCTTCATGTTCTTCATAGTGCAACTTCCTATTTCCTATACTAGCCCTAACATCTTACTTTCACTATTACCAGCAACTTATTCATCAGTAAGGTTATTTCCCCAGAAATCTTAAAATATGGACTGAAGAAAACAGGAGAGAGGTAAGAAGAACTGGTGTGCAGATTTGGGATTATGATTTGAAATATAGTACACTTAGTAGAAAGAATAAATTCTCCAGGTTCTCGAGGATCGAAGAGAAGGAATGTACCAAGTTAGAGAAGAATATTTTAGGCTAATAAGGAGGATATTGGATGAGAGGTGGTGATGAAAAGACACTGACTTAAAAGGTCTTTTTATAGTGGGGAAACAAATATTCATGCCATTGTAGAACATAGGAATTGCAAAGAACTCTGAGAATATGACAAGGATAGACTGCCTGAACTGTAGTAATAGAAAGAAGTGTTAAAAAAAGCAGAGAAATTTTCAGTGAATAATTTTCTGTTGAAGGAACTAGAACATGTTTAAATAATTTAACATAAAGTGATTCTGGTGTTCAGAAATGCTTTCTGTACAGAAGATGAAAAAGGTACTTTCCTTTATGCTTGTAATTATGTGCCCTTCCCCTTTGGTTATCTGTAATAACAATACCTGTAAAAATCAGGAAGTCATTCCCTACCGCCACCACACACAATTTTGTTGCTCCCTTCTTTTGAGATATTAATATTTGCTTTATCTCCAAACAGAATGTGCTTTGCCTGTAGGAGTGTTGAGCTCTCTTAGATTCCTGTTCATAATTTTTGGTCAGAGAAGGAATTCTTCTGCTTAATTTGCAAGGATTCCCTTTTTAGTTTTATTGTTCTTAATTTGAAGGAATTCCACTGTAATCTGATAATTTCTTTTCCATTTCTTCTCCTCACATAAATCTAATTCATTAGCAAGAATGCGTGGCTAGTATCAGTAACATCATCAAACTGTTACAAGTGCTGCAGTTGTTAATATTTCTTGCAAAGGATTTTGCATCTTTTAGTAATGGGTGCATCTTAAAGACTATGGATTTTAAATAATTATTGCAGTTATGTTTGGCAGTACCTATTGCTAGGTACTGTTAGTACCACTGAATAATCCAAATCTTCTGTCTTTGAGTCTTTGTCTACATTACCTGGAAATATTAGCAGAAAAATTACATTTTTTAAAAAAACTTAAATAACTTTAAAAAACAAAACAAACCCTGTTAAGTTCCTTTAATATGTAAGACCTTGTGGATGATGAAAAAAAGAACAATCCCTCTAAGTTTTTAATCACAGAACTATTAATAGGTTCATTGTATTGTTTCTTGATAAGTATTACTTTACTTAAATGGATAGGCATTCACTACATACTGTACTGTACATTGAAGGCTATTAATCCTTAGATCACTAAAGGTAGGTACACATCTTCTTTGCTTTCCTTAGATTGTAAAACTGAAGAAGAGATAGGCTATTTAATACTTCAGGAAATCATTTTAAAGCTATGATTGTTGTTTATCTTCAGTAATGTACACAACTGTTGATTTATGCAGACATAAGCAAGATTAGTCCCCTCCTTGAAGCACACAGCCTGAAAAGAACCAGAGCAGGAAACTACTACTAAATAAGTGTTGCATGCTAGTCATAGCCATACAAATGCTTCCTATATGTACATTTCTTAAAGGCAGCTCTTGCTTCCCTTACAAGTTTACTTAGGCAGACTTACTTCAGGCTTTATAATGTCATCCTTTCTGATTTTCACCAAATCTGTTGAGCTTCACACTCTGCCAGAAAGCACAGATTCCAGAATATTAAAGGTGGTATGTAAAGATCAAATTTATATTGATCATGCAGTCATGATCAATAGAGACAGCAGTCATGTCTTTTGTTAAGAAGAAATGTGGATAAGAAAATACCAGGTTAGTCTTTCTAACATTAACAGTTGATTTATATTTTGTATTTGGAAAAACATGTGATAGTAAGATATGCCAGAAGCAGTGATGCTTGTCGAGATTTTAATGGGCTTTTCTTGGTTGTCTGCTCATTATACTTATGATATGGAAGTGGCTTTGATAATTTTCTACTCAAACCACAGAAATAATACAAATTTTTTTTAAAGGTTCTTTTCTTTTATAGATAATGATAAAGTTAGGCAGCTGTACCTGAAGGGTGTACCTGCAGACTGTGCTCACAGCTTTATCTGGGACCATGACATCTGTAAGAACGTCACTGAAAATAAAATCTCAGAGCAGGTAACTAAGTGGGTGGATTCCTATGAAGGAAATGGCTAATGATTCATGGAGTCCATAGAAACAGACTCTTGAAATCTCTATAAAATCTGATAAATCTAAGATTAATCAATAGCTTCCTTTATGTCTAGTATCCAGCTGCTGACATGAAGTGTTTTTTTGTAGCCTTTACATAATGTTCATGCACAGCCATTGACCATGGATTCAATTAAAAGAAAGCTTTATTGGATTGCCTACAGGACTACAGTTGTAGGTTTATGTAACAGAAAGGTTTGGAATTGGATTTTCATACATCACCTTGACTGATGCAGCTGAGAAGAGTGACACAGGAAGGCTCTGGCCTTTAGCTGTAGTCAGAACAATTCTTCTGATGAAGAGAACTGTGGAAGTTGAAAGGAGAGAAATCCTATGTTTCTGAACTGCAGCACACTATGCTGTGGGTATGCTGGGCAATAACTCATGATTTGTAGACAACTTCAGGTTTGCTGTTGTGGGTTTGAAGTCTCCTATCTAGACATTTTCATTGAAATTTTCTTTGGAGGGCAGCCCATAAAGTGCATGGATAAAAAGGTGATTTAGTCCCAAGAGATGATAAACTTTTGGCACCATTGTAGTCAGAGAAAACATTTATGTGGCAAAAACATCTTTCTAAATATTCTTTCTGAAAATTAATTTTGTGCTCTTTCGAACTGTCTGACATAGTGTAAAAAAAGCAGAGTACTTAGAAAATATTATACTAGTACATGACAGTTATCAGCACAATCTTTTTATATATGACAGTGTTCTTTATGCTGTCATGAAATTTAATGTTTACCTGAAAAAACACAGGGAGTCTAATGGTCTATTTCTTCATAAATGTATTCTTAATGTGGTACAATGGAATATAACAACTGGTGTTTGACAAAACCTCAATGCCAGCATGCTTTATGTGAAACTGATGACCAAAGCTTCTTCCCATCTCCTTGGACATAGTTCAGATTTGCTCCATATGTTGACAGACTGAAAGCACCTTTTCAGAGTTATTTTACCTCCTTCATCTATGTTGTACCTTGTACCTGCTCTTTATCAAGGACTGTGGAAGTAAGAAGGGGAGAAAAAGGGTGCCTAATACTCTTTTCTGAAATAATTTTTCATGCCTTGATGAAATTCTGTTCAAGTATATAGTGTATTACTACTGTATTTTTTCCTAGCTGTAAACTCAACTTTTCTCTGTATCTTGGAAGGGTATCTGGAAGAGGGAAGAAGAATGGTTATTAACTTACGGGAAATGTCTCCTCCTCCTCAGGATTTAAACCATATGAGAGCTCAGTTACTGGTACCTGGATCACACCTTGATTTGGGTCCTTGTGAATCTAAGATTCCCATACTGTTGGTGCAGCAGCCAGGAAAAATAGCTGGAGAAGATCGACCAGGATGGGGGAGTGGCTGGGACATCTATCTCCCAAAGGGCTGGGGCATGGCTTTCTGGATTCCTTTTGTAAGTGACTTTGATGGCAAATTGCCAGTAAATTTGATAATTTGTATAATTTAGTTTAAATTAATCAATTTTAGAGAGTGTACTTCGTATTATATAACCAATTCCTAATTACAGGATCAAAATTTCACTTTAAAAAAGTGAAATGTATGAACTGGTTCATGACAGAAGCTTGGTCTTCAAACTTAAACAATAGCTTTCCATGTATTTTGTTGGGTACAACTATGCCCACATGGCAGTCTAGAAGCAGCAAATCAGTGAGGACTCAGGAGAGAAAGCTGAAGCTAGACCTCTCTGTGTTTCTACAAGCATATGCCTCTGAAGAGAAATCATTTAGGGCGTGTTGCTAATCAGTTTCCAACTTGGGTATTCTACACCTCTGTCACCAAATTGGTTGCCTCTGATTTGGGATAGAGCGTAAAACAAAGTTTGAGTTAAGCTCCTTTGGTGCTGTTTGAAGTATCCTGCTTTGACTGTTTAGGTGACAGTTTTAATACCTTTCTGTAGTTAAAATTATGCTTTGAGTGTGCAGAGGATTTGATATTTGCAGTGTTTGGTTAAAATACATAGGGCAGTGGCTGTTGAAGTAATACAACATTCCTGGCAATGCACAAGATAAGAACCTGTGAAATTCTCTTCAGTTTTGTTGATAGTTTTGCAGAATTAAATTTAAAGAGCATAACTAACTTTTTGTTGAAATTAGCATCTAGAACTGTAGAAATCATGCTTAAGCTTATTTTTTAAAGGTTAAGTGTTAGACTTTCAATTTTCTAAGGAAGTACCCTTTGGGCATTAATGTTTTGTTTCAGCTAGGAACCCAGAATGAATTCAAACATTGCTTTGGTTTTTATAACAGATATATCGAGGTGTACGAGTCGGTGGCTTGCAAGAGGCATTAAAGCATTCTGAATACCAAAGAACGCCTCACACTCCAAATGATTTCCCAGACTGCCAGGCAGGAATGCAGTTTGCTAAAGAACTGGAAACCAGTCTTCTTGAAAAATTCAAACGGTAACATTAATTTAAAAATTGATGGGGAAAATGACAAAAATGAATACTGCTTAAAATATTCCCTTAGGTATCTTCTGTTGTGTCCATTTAGACTTGGCCTTTACTGAGATCTTTCACTAGTGTTTTAAATATTTGTATTATAAAAAAGAAAGGACTCCTAGATACATTTAACTCTGCTAAACAGGGCATATAAATTAAAACCTTCTATTCCCAGAGACATGCTCAGTTACGGGGCTGTAACAAGGCTGCATAGCAATTAAAAAAACAAAACTATTTTGAGACTCCTAAGCAGCAAATGGGGGAGGAGGCAAGAGAATGCAAAGGAGTATGTCAACGTATCTACCAAGTCTTAAAGAATAAAGTAAATTTAGAAGTACATTTTCGTATCTAATTTTAAATACCAGGTATTCTGAACTTTACCTTCACTTTTACTGCAACAAAGAGAACTCTTAACTATGAGTTTGGAGTAGCTGGAAGTGTCCTCTACACCAGCTGGTGTTGGTTCCCCTTCCAGGCAGGAGGGTAAAGTAGAAGTTCAGAGGAAGAGGTGGTGATGGCAGAGCAGGTAGATGTTTCCAGCATGGCTGAAAGGATATAGTGGACAGAAATACAGCAGCATTTTCTAGATTGTAATTTTAAAATTCTTGTTCAGCCAGGTTAGAAAGTTAACTGTGCATTCCCTTTCCATTTTAAATACTTGATTTTGAAAATATTCTTACCTACTTACTTGATTTATCATTTAGACGTCCACCTGCAAAAAGGGCAAATTATGTCAAGCTGGGCACTCTGTCTCCTTTCATCTGTCCTTGGGGGCAGCTGACCAAGAACTGGGAAGAAAGAATGAAAGCTTCAGGAGGACTTTTATGTCCTTCCTCCCCACGTACTTACTGCTGCACAACTGAAGGGCAGACCCTTTGTGACCCCAAAGCAGAAGCAGTCAGAAAAGCTTCCCCTAAGACTGGTGAGGAGGAGGAGACCATGGAAATAACAAGTTCTGAAAGTGCCCTAAAGACAGAGGATGTTACAAGCACCCAAGATTTTGGTGAGAGAGATGAAACTAAGACAAGTGACTTTATTGTTCTCAGGTATGTCAAAATAATGCACACATTTTATTTCTTTATTGGTATTTATTAAATTGGGGAAAGGAAGAGCTCAGCCTTAATTATTAAGATGAGAGAATTATTTCATCCAAATACTATGAGATTAAATAGTTTTGTCACTAATCAGAATCTGCCGTTGAGTGGAAATCCTTCTGCATTTTTCCAGCAAAATTGATGACTACATAAAGAAAACTCCTTAAATTATCTTAAATTTAACACTGGAATTTACTATGTTCTCAGAGTTGGCATATTCGGTTCGCTTCCAGGTTGATGGAGCTTTTAGAGGCTCATATTTGTGACTTTAGGACTATTGCTGTGAAAATCATCTTGCATTCTCTTCCCTAATATATCACCACAGGTGGTTCTTGCACTCCTTAATAAGGTCTCTAGAAAACAGAGAATCCCCTGCATTCCAATGCAACGCATGAGGGCAGCAACAGTATTGGGAAGTGCCTGAACACAGGTCTTTCATTTTTGTGTGGTTACCAGGGGAAGAAAACACTGAAAGTTCTGGACTGCATTAGTGTCACTGGAGATTTTAGTGTGTTTGTGGTTTTAACAGGCTTTGGGGGTTTTAACATGTCTCCTTCCTTCTGAAGAAGACTCTTGAATTCCACTCACCAATGTTCTTTTTAGGCTAAGAGTGTACCAGCCTGGAAGGTTACAGAAAGCCCCAGACCTTTTTTTAAGTGTGCTCTTGCAAATATGTGGGGTGCTGGATTTCTGTTGAACTGCTTGTTAATAACAATCTCTGATGTTTATTTTTGAACATTTTTAACAGGAGTGAGAAACTACTAATGCAGTTATCAGCCTGGTGTTACCCCACTGCTGGGAAAGATCGGCGAATCCGCCTTATTTCTCGTCTGGGACAGAAGGAAATGACTGAAGATGTTTTTTTGCCAATCTTGATGAGCTACCCAAGGGCTCTTGTCTGGGTCAACTTGTCGCTCTTGAGAAAGGGGAACCCTGAATTACATGCCATGATTTGCATCCCAACAGAAGATGACTTGCTGCATCTAAGCAAAGACAAGCTCTTCTGTGGTCCACAAGAGCCCAAACATCGTGACATATTCAAGGACAAGGTACGGAAGCAAAAAGAGGAGAAGAGGAAGAAAAAGGACAACGTGAAGTCTCTAGAGAGTGACCCTGCAGGCATTCCAGATGAAGAGGCAACTGAGGACCATGAAGATCTCATTCTTGGTCTTTGGTCAGATGCTCTCCCAGATGTTACTTCCCACTGCTCCAGGACTGTCTTGGGGTATGTCACTCGAGGGGATTTTTCATTGGCTGCAGGCTGTGGAGAAGCACTGGGTTTTGTCAGCTTGACTGGGTTAATTTATATGTTACACAACCAGCCAGCAGATAAAAAAGGGCTTGTTTTGTTAAGGACTCCAGCATCTTTACAGTACAGATTTGCAAGACTTAATATTGAGGTGTAAACATCATTGCAGTGCAGTAGAATGCCAAAAATACCAAAGAATTTTGTTTCGTATTTTGTGGCCTTTCAGATTTGTCTTAAATTTGAGGTTATTCTAAGCCCAAACAGCTCTAAGATTATGAAATAATTAAAAAGCATTTTAGCATTATTCAAGAAAATAACTAATGCATGAAGAGACTAGAATTACTTTTGATGTCTGCATTGCTAAGGATTTCTAACAGATCATTATCATGATCTTCTTTATCTCTAAGGAAGTGTATTCTTCATTTTTTCTCCTCAAAGCAGTGGATGCTATAACAATGTACTGGAAATCATCATCTTAATTTTAGAAGTCTTTGCTCAGATGGACTGTAAATTTACAGTGGACTTTGACATGTAACTGCAAGCAGTCTGATCCAGTGTATATAGCAAGTGGGTTTCCTGATTCCTTGTATCTGAATATATGTGGCTGCAGTGCAGCAGAATTATGTAGAGAAAGCTGAATGCTTAAATGAAATACAAATAAAATACAGCTATGTCATTTTGAATTATAGCAGTTGGAAAGCATATCAGTCTGTCTCCCTAGTCTGAAACGTAATAAACCTTTCAGATGCAAATTGCTAGTGGTGGGTCAGCACACATTTTCTGTTAATAAGAGGGGGTATTTTTGTTCCTCAAAACATGAATTTAGTTTTGTATGGAATGTGCTAGAATTGAAGGCTTCTTCATGTTACAGTATGATTCATGAATATTGTTCAAACAATCATAAAACTTGTAAAATATGCTGGGGGGTAAAGGGAGAAAGGTGTTTGATTTGCCTGGGGTAGTGTGGATAGGTTGTTTGTGTTTGGTATTTTGTTGGGGTCTTTTTTTTAATGATAGTCTTAAGCATCTAGCCATTCCTGAGTTAAGGAACTTGAAAAGGAATTTTACAGTAGTACACTGTAGTTTAGTAGCAGCATGATACAAATATATGCCAGTTGGTAAAATTATCCTGAAATGATCATGTACAAATAAAAATGTAATGTATTCTTGAGTTAGTAGTCTATTGACAGTTTGATTCTTAGAGAAATTAAACATGGATCAGTTAATGACTTTTTCTTTCTAAATGTCAGTGTTCAACTTAATTTCCTTTTTCACAGTTTCATTTGGAAGTCTTAGGTGAATTTATTAATGTTGGCTGGAGTTGTTGGAGGAAAGATTTAGTGTGCCTTACCCCCAAAATTATTAAAATATAGGACCATTTAAATATGGCATACACATGGGGAAGGAAGAAGAACATCTGATTGCATGGGAAATATTGGAAGTAGGGCTGGATTTTTTTAAAAAGTCTTCAGGAGATGGATTGTAGAACGTGCACCAGCAGTGGGAGTTGTGGTGGCACGTGGGAAAGAAAGATGCAGTTTCCAGCACCACTTGGATTGCAGCTCCCTGAGAAATCGTGCTGAATGGCTCCTCACTGCTCACCTTTGATGCACCTGATAAAGCAATCATGGTCCCGGAAAGGTCCTGGGAAGCATCTGCAGGAAAGCCAGCAGATGGCCCCAGAGGAAAGAGCTTGGTGCTGGCAGGGCTGGGATTCACACGCTCCTGGCGTGTGACTGTGAGTGCTGCAGCCTGTAGGTATGTGTGAATAAGGAGCCCCTTAAACTTTACAGCCTGGCTGCTCTGATCAAGTTCTCTCATGGTAATAATCCCGGATTTAATGAACCTTTTGAATTGTAAGCCTGATTGAAATATTTCTAGGATCACAGTTTCCAGAGCTGTGCTTCATGTGAAGAAAGGAGGGGAGGTGATTTTTATATGGCTTTTTCCCTCGTCACCTCCCTCATCTTCTTAATAGATGCGTATTTTCTTGCCTCAATAGACCTGGCTTGTATGTGAGAAAGAAAGAGAAGCCCCCACCCAAGCTATTGGTTTTTTCTTTTCTGCTTGTAGATCTTTTGTTCACTGAGTCTTTCCCAGGTTTTTATTTTTTAAAAAAAACATCTGGAGTCTTTCCTTTTTTTTCTTCCTATTGGTAATTTCTGCCAGGTTTTCATTTTGACACTTCCTGTTACTTTTCTTTGATTTCCATTCTCTATTTTTGATTTATGATCCTTGTCTCTGGTGAGCCAGTGAACAGAAACTGGAACCCGAGTGCATCCTGTTCTGTATATCTTGTAATATTGTTACACAGTTGTTTTTCTGTAAGTCAATGATTTATGCCTTAAGACTTCACTCCTTGTAAAATACACTGCAAACCAGATAAGTTAAAAATGCTCAAAAATCTCAGCCAAAATTTGTCAGAAAAGTACTGTGACTTTATGTAGCTGCAAGGAAATTTTTATCTGTGGTTGCAATTTCCAGATTCCGGGTGTCTCAAGGGTGATTTAGTCATAAAAACCATGTCAACACCGGATAATCAAACTGTGGATAATTAAACCTGTGTTATCTGTGCATCAGCTGTACAGTATGTCTGTGCTCATCATGTTGAATCAGGTGTAGTTTACAGCCCACATCTGCTCTTACTGCAGTTGCTACACGTTGGTTAACTACCCCAGAGCATTTGGATCAGCTCCTGTCAGCTGTAATACATGAGCCTTTTTGGGAGCCTAGGAAGCTCTGGCCTAGTGAAGGCAGCTCTCACAAGCTCTCCGGCTCCCATGCTATCCTCCAGATAACTTTCTCAAAATGGATGCCAGCACAAAACCTTAGCTCTCGTTCTGTGCTTGGCAAGAGCTTTTGGAAGCTCAAATGAAGCACAGAAGGCAATGTAGCACAGTGAGGAGGTTGAATGGTAACACACTGCTCCTGTAGCTCTTTCTATGGCTCCCTCAGAGTAGCTGTGTAAATGCAGCATTTGACTCACCTGGTGAAGGGTCTTTCCCCAGGCTGAACCATGACTTTTGTGGCACTGCCTGCTCTGCTGACAGGCACAGTGACTAATGGACCTACCAAGCTGAGGAGCTCCAAGATACACATTCTTTACCATCACAAATCCAGAAAATGAGGTTGCAGAGGAGGGTGGTGATGACTCTGTGGGATGGAGTGAGGTGGGACTGGGGCCAGATTGTTGTGTGTTTGTTAAAGATGTTCAGGGCAATCTGTTCAGCAGCCTGTAGGTAATGGAAGAAGTTACCTGGCAGAAAGGCAGCTGGGGTTGTTGAAACGAATCTGGGAAAATAATTGACAGTGTCAGACTGCTCAGTGGAGATAGAAGCCTTGGGGGGGATCTTGGAATGTGCAGACAAAGAGTTGTCAAATTCAGCATGACAGGTTTTTTTCAGTGCTCTAAATCTGGAAGAGCCAGATATGTCAAACCTGACCCATTCTCACGTCCATGTGAGGTAGGCAGTAGGAACAGAGCTCAGGGGCGTAAACCAGCAAAGGCAGATTTCTGAAGCACTAAGCCTGAGAAGAGCAGAAAAGCAATAGCATTGTTCTCCTTTCCAAGAATACAACATAGAGAAAACCCCAACCCAAAATCCTGTTCTTAAGTGATATTCCCAGAGGTCAGCAATGTAAACAACACCCACAATTTACCTCTTGCAATTTCAACTCAGCTGTACTACAGTTCTTTGTGAACACTGGTCTCATCAAATCCCTGCAAGAGCAAGTAAAATTGTATGGAATAATAAGAACTCAGAAAGGATAGGGGATATGGGCTGAAACTATTTTGTGGCAGTTTTGAAAGTCAGAGCCAGCTTGACACTGGTCAAAATAATGAGTTCATGGTAGTTCAAAGTAGGTGAAGTGACAAAAGACAAAACACAGATTTTACTCATTGCAATGGGTCTCAAAGAAACTCAGTTTCTTCTACAGTAGCAATATGCCTGCACAGAATGATTTTTTTAAAACATTTTTTTAGACACTCCAAGATGTGTGTAACATCGACTAGCATCAGCTTGCTTGATACATTCTAGTTGTCTTTTCATCATGGGCTTACAGCAGTGCTGCTATTCTAACAGCTAAGTCCAATCCTTAAGAAATAAAATCAAAAAGACACTCAGGTCAAAGCAAGAGTAAAGCAGAGAATGAAAAAGCAGTCTGAAGGAAGAGGGCAACACAAATTTCATGATCCAAATATGTGAGGATTTTCTGCAACTTTCCAGAAAGGATGGTGCAATTCAGTATTGCATTTCATCTGAAGATCAAATAAATAGCCAGGCTGAGAAAGCTGTTTCAGCTCAGTCCTTCTCTCAGCCTTCTGTTCTTAGCCTAGAAACTGTGTTTTTTAAAAAATACCAAAATGGTTGTGATGGAGGGGAGAGCTCAAGCACCTGCAAATTATCTGGAGCTTTATTACTCAGAAATTACTTTAAGTGGCACCTCAGGAGTGAGCCCCTTCTTTCTACCCACTAGAGATACCCCAGTTGCTTTAACTGTGGCTCTAGTAATGAATCCTGTGTGTCTACAGTTGTAATTATTTATAAATACTGTAAAAACTTTTTATAAAAACTTGGGTTGTTTCAGGTGCCATCCAAGAAAGCTTTAAGCCAGAGGCAAAGCCAGTTGCTCAGAATGAGTTGGCTTGGGTGGGAAAGAGGGATCATACACATCAAAGTATGTTACTGTTCCTCAGCACTGAAAAAAATCCAGAGTGCATGCACAGAAAAACAAACCGTAAATCTGCAATTAAAAATGCACTTTTCAGATGGGCAGCTGCTTAATGCAGTGATTTTTATTTTTATTTTTTAAGATACATGTGGAAGTAGTTTTGGTACAGACCAGCATGGATTAAAGGGTTAAAAATAGGTAATTTATTTTCCTGTAGAACAGAGTGTCGTACAGGAATCAATTGCATCCAGGTTTTCTGAATATTTTTGCAATGCAATAATTCTTTTAAATTAGTTGGCAAATACATGAAGGGGGTTCCAAATGAAGGCACAAAAATTTATGAAATTGGTTGAGAACTGTAACCAGTTCTTTCTGTTTTTTCAAAGAGAAGCAGATGAAAATGAGCATTAGTACATAGTAGGCTGAGGAATGTTTTAAAAAAGGATTAATTTTAGCTTCCCTTAGTCTTTTTAGGGCTTTCACTGAGCTACTGTGTTTTGAGGCATTAATTATTTGTATTCATTAGAGTTAATTATTAAAAAAAACGGGTGTAGTTCCTGTTGGTATATTGAAAAACTTCCTTTTATGCCAATAGGCAGCACACAATGGCCCAACTTCTGAAATGGCAACCCCAAAACTACAGATTTCTGTATCCTCTGAAGTCTCCCCTCACCTGATCCTGGGACAGAGGAGGTTTATGGGGTGTTGCAGGTGTCCAGCAGCAGCCAGTGGGAGACACCCTGGAGCCTGAGAAAACAACCTCAGTAGAAGCTGCTCTTGGAGCAGTGACAGCACCCTGTAAACAGCTGTGAAAGCCAGTCCTCCCCATACAATGCTCTGGAGTCCTTTGATGTTGGAGACAGAAGGGTAAGTCTAAAAAATAGCTCAGAGATCCTGATCCTGCCATTCTGTGTTAATTTGTGGGGGAAAAAAAACTCTCTAAAAAAACTTTTCTTTTTTAGGTTAGTAGGCATGAAGAAGGTTAGTCTTTTTCAGATTATCCAACAAAAGCAGAAATATCCAGAAAATAGCAGTTCCTTCTTTGCCTGGAGGCCTGTTTGTGGTGTCATAAGCAACCAACCCCTTTTTGTGGTACAACACACTGGTGTGAAGCCAGAGCTCACCGATGTTACAGCGTGGTGTTGTGCAAGTGTTTGCACATGGGTACATGCATGACACACGAGGTAAGATGCTTCCTAAAGAGCAGACTTTTTAAAATCTCTGCTTCCCTTGGAGCTAATAATTTTTTTGATTGCCTGAGGAACAGAAGAGGCTTCACACATCTTTAAAATCATAGAAACAGAGTGGTTTGGGTT